GTCCATTTGCGTTCTTATAAGTCCCCCTAACCATGTCGGTCTGTTTGTCCGCCAAAAAGTGGACTTGAGGGGGTACTATTATATGGAAAAAAATCTAAAATTTGTAGATATGTTCATATTTTTGTGTAAGTTTTCACCCCCCAAATACACATTTTTAGCCAAATCCTTTGAAATATGGTAAAATCAGGAGATACTTTTACATGGGCACTACTCCGAGACATCGACCTACATTGAAAACATTCTTCTAGCCCTTATAATCCAATATGACAAATAGAGACCAAATCAAAAATTTAACAGAACAACATAGCATGTCAAACTGAAAAACATTCCGCGTGATTTAAATGAGTAAAAATAGTTTTATCCACCATATTATCATATAGATTATTTCCCAAATCTACGTTTCCAACCAATATTCTCTTGAGAGTTACAAATTCAATAGAATACAAAATTTTCTTTTCTGACCACACATTATATGTGAAAGTGGACTTGGGGATACTCCAATGTGGGGACTTTACTTAAATAAATTCCTATGTGGCAATTATCTGTATGATGGTTCCCTAACCCCTTAGAGACAAAGATGCCAAATAAGGGCCAAAATATGAAAAAAGTGGCCAAGACCCCAAAAATAGCTTAAATCATATGATGGTTATATAAATATAAAATCGGGTTGTACCCTTATCCGTGAGTTATGATCGATATCATGACCTGCAAAAGTGATTTAAGGTATCTTGAATGTTTGGGAAGAATTCCTGGAAGGATAGAAATCCTTTTCTTACTAAAAGTCCCATTCGCTCTATTATTTTGCACCCTTTAAATTTGGTATTTTACTGATTGTACTTCCAAAGAATTTTGCATTTTCAGCTCTCATTGGACGGATTATTGTCACATGAAAGAAGTAGGTCCACGCTTTGAAATGAGCTCCATTAGGCTTTTTCTGTCATTTTTGGTTGTTTAAATGTGTTCGCAAATACAAATTAAAAAAAAATGACAAAAGAAGAATAGCAAATTGAAAAAATCTTCAACTTGTTCGCTGATTTATTACAGCAAATGTTTAAAGACCCTTACTATTTTTTTAAAATTCGATTCCACTGAAAATCTTTTCGATTTTTTCCCGATTTGAGAATTTTTGCAATGAGATCTCTTTTTCGTGATTTTTTAGCGAATTTGAAAAAGTAATTATCTTTTAATTAATAATTATCTTTCTTTTGGTGTGACCGCGTTAAATTATTTCGATATCATCTATTCCGTTTCGCCACCATATAATTCTGTATTACACTTCCATGTAACCCGCCATCAATTTCAGTTCTCAAGAAATCAAGTCAATTAAATAAATTGGTTTTAATATTCGAATTCAAAAATAAAAAATAAAAAACACTACAAATGTACATTAGAAAAAAGCCAGTCAAAATAGAAAAAAATCATGCAAAATAAAACATTACTATTGTACATTTGAAAAGTCAAAATGAAAATGTTAATATATCACATTTTTACGCGATTTTTTTGGATATTATCCTTTTCGGAGAGGAGACAACTCCTAATTTGTGTGAATTGTTAAAATCAGTCCAGCGGTTCTTAAGTTATAAGCGTAGTAACTAACACAACTTACATTTATATATATAGATATATATATATATATATATATATATATATATATATATATATATATATATATATATATATATATATATATATATATATATATATATATATATATATATATATATATATATATATATATATATATCTATATATATAAATGAAAGTTGTGTTAGTTACTACGCTTATAACTTAAGAACCGCTGAACTGATTTTAATGATTCATACAAATTCGGAATTGTCTCCTATCCAAAAATTATAATATACAAAAAAAATCACGTAAAAATGTGATATATTAACATTTTCATTTTGACTTTTGAAATGTACAATAGTAATGTTTTATTTTGCATGATTTTTTTCCATTTTGACTTACTTTTTTCTAATGTACATTTGTAGTGTTTTTTATATTTTATTTTTGAATTCGAATATCATAATATCAATTTATTTAATTGACTTGATTTCTTGAGAACTGAAATTGATGACGGGTTACATGGAAGTGTAGTACCGAATTATGTGGTGGCGGAATAGATGATATCGAAATAATTTAACGCTGTCACACCAAAGTTAGAAGATAATAACCTTTTTAAAATCGCTAAAAACAAACTATTGACAAACTTTGTAAGGATCTTTAAACAGTTGCTGTAAAAAATCAGCGAACAAGTTTTTCAATTTGTTATTATTCTTTTGTCATTTTTTTTTTTCAATTTGTATTATCATATTGAACTTGAACTTGTTCGCGAGTATCTTGACTTAGGTCACATGTGCTCTGTTTCTCCCCATCCCCCAGTTGTCAATCTAGAAAAACAGACCTTCAATTTACGCGTAGTTTTTTATGCATCAAATAAAACTTCTACTGGTATAAGTCTAAACGACATCCTTCACGTGGGACCATCTCTCCAAGCAGACTTAGTCTTGTTAATATTGAGATGGCGCTTATTTCGGTTCGTGTTTAATTGTGACATCACGCAAATGTATCGTCAAATTCGCGTTCACCCACAACATACATCTCTTCAAAGAATTTTGTTTCGGGAATCCCCCAATGACCCCATTTCAGATTACGAACTGCAAACTGTCACTTTTGGAGTAAATTGTGCCCCTTATTTAGCAATTCGTACTTTGCTCCAACTTGCTGATTATTGTGAGTCTGAATATCCTTTGGTTTCAAATATCCTTCGAAAAAGTATGTATGTTGATGACGTCCTTGCTGGCGCTCATGACCTAGACACCGCTATTCTTGCTCGGGACCAGCTCATTGCTTCTTTGTCCACAGCTAAATTTGAGTTGAGAAAGTGGACTGCAAACGACAAATCTGTTCTTGCTAGTTTGCCCATTGACCATTTAGTTGACGCTCAGGTTCTTTCCTTTATAGAGGCAAGTAGTTCCAAACCATTGGGTATTCGATGGAATGCCAGTTTGGACTCGTTCTTTTTCTGTGTAAATCCCATCCCTGAAAAATCTAATTATTCGAAGCGGGAAGTTCTTTCACACATAGCTAAGTTGTTTGATCCCGTAGGTTGGTTAGCTTCCGTTTTAGTGGTAGCAAAAATTATTATGCAGAAGGTGTGGTTAGATAGCATCGGATGGGACGATCCGCTTCTTCTTGCTACAAAGAATTCTTGGCTCACTTTTGTTGACAATTACCCTCATGTTAACTCGATTACAATTCCGCGTTGGGTTCGTTATGAACCAAACACCTTGGCAGAACTACATGTGTTCTCTGATGCTTCGGAGAAAGCGGGGGTAATTTATATGCGAACAAAAAATTCTCTAGGGGATATTAGTGTTCATTTGTTAGCCTCTAAGACAAGAGCAGCCCCTATTAAATCGATTTCACTACCTCGCTTGGAATTATGTGGCGCTGTACTAGCGTCGGAACTCCTAAAGCCAATTTTGAGTGACTTGGACATTCCAATTAACAAGATTTACAGTTGGACCGATTCCACAATTGTATATTTACAAAATATGAAGATATTTTGGAGCGATTCTCATCACTTGATAGAGCGTTGCGAGTTTTGGCATATATGTACCGTTTCATTCATAAAACTCATCCCCACAATCGGCCTGCAAATTGTTTCACAAGTAAAATCCCAACCTCTGAAGAAATTAGAATGGTTAAGAATCATTTAGCCGTATTAGCACAGAAGTGTCATTGTGCAGATGAGTATAAGGATCTTTTGGATAAACGGCCTTTACCTTCATCTAGCTCCCTTCTTTCTTTATTCCGTACAGTCATTAATCGTTGCAAGGTTTGCCGGCTAGAGAAAAATCGATCGTGTCCGCAGATTATTGCTGCACTTCCTCCCGAAGAAACTTCGATAAATAGACCTTTCACTACAACTGGGATAGACTTTGCTGGGCCTTTTGATATTAAGTCATTTACAGGTCTTGCTTGTCGTATCACTAAAAGATACGTTTGTGTCTTTGTTTGTTTCACGACCAAAGCTGTGCATTTAGAGGCGGCGTCTGATCTATGGACGGCTTTATTTCTGGCTAACTAACTTGAATAAGCGTTATAAATGGAAATATCCGGAGAGAAATGTTGCAATCAATGATTTAGTAGTCATTAGGCATGAAAAACTTCCACCTACTTCTTGGAAACTAGGACGTGTAGTCGAGACACATCCCGGTAATTACGGTAACGTTCGCGTTGTAGACGTCCGAACTGCTCAGGGTATTGTTAGGCAACCCGTCGTCAAGTTAGTCGGGTTACATAATTAAGTCTGTTGTTTGCGAAATATACCTCGTTTGGATGGGTAATTTCGGGCCCCGTCAACCAACATGTAATTAACTGTTATTAGTTTAAAAAAAAAAACGAATTGAATTTAATAAAATGAAATTTGGTCATATAAACTGAACTTACGTCCTTGTAAATCTTATTGTACATATTTATATATAATTCCTTTGAGCTTTATTTAGTTGATACACATGCATGTATATCAAGGTGGGCGGCAATGTATAAGTTTTTCCCTTGCTCGATCAATCACGGATGCTGATTGGCGCACATGCATCTCCTCTACAACTCCCCTGACGTAGACCGTAGTGAGCGGATCGTCGCTGGGCATTGGTTGTTGTCGGTAACATCACCTTGTTACAAATGCTCTCATTGGAAGTAGTTGTAGTTGTATTAGTAGACAGACATGGGATCCTCTGCGATCACCTAGAACCTCTGCGTTCACTTGTCATTAGTCTTTGAAGCAATACCCATCACGGGCACTGTCACAAACACACCATATTTGAAAAGAGGTAACCTTATTGTTGAAGTAAACTTACAAAGCAATTCAATAAATCAGCAGACTTACTGAGAAAAGAAATTAATACTACTTGTTTTATTTCCTATTTTGTTTTTCTTTTCCTCCCTTGCCCATCTCACAAACAAACACATACATTAGTGATAACTTACTACAATTTTTAAATTATAAGCAACAATAAAATAAACATTTATTATTCCAATATTATAGTACAAAATAAATTTACTTATACGTGGTTTCTTGACATTAAAAACCTTTTTAAATATTCTACAACATACATAGTTTGTACATAACATACAAAAGAAATACAAACGGAGGAAATAATTTTGCTTATTTGGTTATTCTGTTTTGGTTAGAGCTCTCTTTTGTATTTTATCTACAGGTTTAACGTCACCATTATTGAGCGATTTTTGGCTTTCCGAACTTTCAGAAATTTCGCTGTCGCTCGATCTTATATCACCAGACATCTGTAAAGGAAATGAATAATCAATGAGACTGCAATGTGTTCTTAAATGAAAATGCTCACCAATCCCTTTTGTAAAGAATCTATTACAATCTTAAGTATCATGTACGTCCAAACAATGTGAAGGGCAAGCAACATAATGAGTAAACTGTTGAAAATGTAATACGCTGGGAACATTGGAAGAATCCTTGGCGCTTCAATTGAAGAACTAGAAAAAAAATTGAGTTCATTTGTATATATATATAGTTATATATATTGCAAAATAGTAGATTGAATTTGAAATTTGATAAGAAAGAGATTTATATCCTTCCAGAAATGCTTACTTAAAGTTCAAGATAACTTACACCACTTTTGTAGGCCATTATATGGGTCATAACCCTCATATAAGGGTACAACCCGATTTTAAGTATATTTTACATTTTTATTATATATTTTTCATACTAATCTCGGCAAATGTTGGTAATTTGAGAAGAAACCATCCCTGCAAAAACTGATCACATTTTGGTATAACCATCGTATGATTAAACTATTTTCGGGATCTTGGCCACCTTCTTTCATTTTTTCTTGCTCTTATTTGTCATCTTTGTTTCGTAGGGTGTAGAAAACCTGTATTGTTTTTATTTAGGATATGCTGGGGTAGTCAACCATCTTACAGGTAATTGTCCACATAGGCATTTATTAAAGTATAGTCCCCACAATAAGTGTACACCCAAGTCCACTTTCCAAACTAATGTGTAGTCAGAAAATGCAATTTTGTATTCCATTGAATTTATAACCATCAACAGAATAGAACGTAGAATTGGGATGTACGCCCATAAGAAATAAGCTCCAATATGCCAAATTATATAAAAATAAAAATACGAATATTGGAAAGAAACACCGTACAGAACATTTGTTTAGTCGCTATTGAATTATACTATGATAAAAAATATGAACTTTATATATATATATATATATATATATATATATATATATATATATATATATATATATATATATATATATATATATATATATATATATATAATTTGAGGTTTTCAGAGTAGGGCCCATATTGGTCTTGACCACCTGGGGTAGGGAACCATCATACAGATAATTGCCACATAGGAATTTATTTAAATAAAGTCCCCACATTATTGTGTGGTCACAAAAGAAATTTTTTTTGTAACCCCCAAGAGAATATTGGTTGGGAACGTAGATTTGGGATGTACTATAATGAAAAATATGAACTTTATGGGGTCTCCAATTAGTAATTATATTTGACTATTCTGAAATCGTTCTGCCCTCAATTATGACGTGGATAAAACTATTTTTACTTATTTAAATCACGGGAAATTTTTTTCAGTTTGACATGCTATTTTTTTGATTTGGCCTCTATTTGTCATCTTGGATTATAAGAGGTAGAAGAAAGTTTTCAAGGTAGGTCGATGTTTTGGAGTAGTGAACATATAAAGGACTTATGAGGATTCTAATGCACAATCTGAGGTGCTAATGGGTTTAAAAAAGTAATTAAAATATTTTAATATTTAAAAAGTAGACCTAATTCGAATTGGTAATTAACAATATATGAATGGAAAAGCGTAAAAATATTCCACATTTGAACCCCTCCAATCGGCAGACACCAGAGTTCGAAATGAAATGATTCATTTTTATGCTTTCGTTCTTTCATTGCTTTTGACATGAATTAATTCGACAATATGAACTAAAGTCGTTTTTAGAGCCGTTACATGTCAAGAAATAAAATTGATTTGTTTACTGTTCGTTCACATTCTAATGCAGTGCAAATAATGGAGGTCGAAATATAAAAAAACTGATAAGTGCGGCAAATATTTTTGCTTAATGTAATCTGACTTCGCCACAATTTTATAACATACTTTTGTGTTTTCTGTTGGAAAAAGTAAATAATAAACTTGAAATAAAATTTTCCACTATAAACCCATTTATGTTAGTACGATAATTCGTATGACTCGCTATATTGGTTGTGAATGTTAGATGACATCAAGTGTTGACAAGCAACATTTAATTAACACAGAAAAAAAAACTAAAACAGATCAGCAATATGTTCTTTATATGCCTTAGAAACTTTTTTTGAAAGTCCATGTTATTTAATTAATTCCATTGAAAATTTATTGACTATGACAAAAATGTTGTTTTATAAATTTACATTGTTGTTTGAAAATAAACCTTTTAAAAATTTGCCTTGAGTGAAAAATATAAAATGGAATTTTACAAAAATCATTTGTTGCAAGTGCTTTCATATTGAACATTTTACATATTAAAAAACTGCAATGCCGTCAAATGGTGTAAAATGTCCGGGGCTCTACTTCACTCCCAGTAACCTCAACATTTTTATCTACGAATAGCATAAAAAATGTAAAGAGAATTGACTGATATAAATCGTCTCTAAGGAGGGTATGCCATTTCAAACCTACGAATACTATTCAAAAAGTAAAACAAAAGATCTATTCTTTAAACGGCATGCATTGTATGTGTTTGTTTTCTCTTTCGAGACGAGCTTAATGATCTGAAATTTGCAGTGAAAAGGAAAGCCAGATAGATACTATCACACACTCACCACTATGCGACGCGTTTCGCCGTTGGTTAAGCGGCTCATCAGGCATATTTGGTGTGGATGATGGCTTACAAGGGCCGTTCTCTGGAAAGTAGTATATATTTCGAACTTATTGCAAATCAGCATATGTGAATTATTCACTAGAAACTCTCCAGGTTCGACTCACGTTCTATTGGCAGATCTTTTTCACAGCAAAGTTTTGTTTGTAGTTTGAAGAGGATAAATTTGAAGAAAATGTATGTAAAAATAAGGCTGATCAATGCCGTCTTTTTCGAAGTGATATTTTTTCAATGAAATAAATATAACATTCATTATTTTTCATGAATTTTGCGTTTTAAATTGATCTCAAAGAATTTATCAACCAAAGCAAGGTTCAAAGATCTTTTGAAAATTGAAATATTAATAGATTTTAGTAATAATCCATGTTCGTGTGAAATTTCACGAGTAACGCCGTAAATTCAGTTGGAATTAATAATTATGTGCCCTTCAACTGCAAACGATCGCAAATATCTCGGAAACTAATAGACTTAGGACTTTGGGAATGGTTCCATTGTGTCGAGGAACATTTTTTACACTAAAAGCAGCTTCAATATTAGTTGTATTTTATTTAAACACAGAGAATACAGCCTTAATTTCAAGAAGTAGGAAATTTTCCTGAAAATTGACTAGTGCCCTTCAACTTCAAACGATCGCAAATATCTCGGAAACTAATGGACTTAGGACTCTGGGAATGGTTCTATTGTGTCGAGGAACATTTTTACACTAAAAAGAGATCTAATATTAGTTGTATTTTATTTAAACAAAGAGAATACAGCCTTAATATCAATAAGTTGGAAATTAATAATTATGAGATTGGATACTATTTTACACACGTAATGCAAGAGAAATAGTCCAAATATACAAATATAACAGCAAATCTTTTCCTATTTAAAAATAAGCAAAAGCAGCCATGTTTTGAAAAATACACATATAAAAAGTCTACTTCGAATAAAATGAAAAATATATTATTTTGAAATAAATGAGAAATATGAGGCGAAATAAACCTCTTAAAAAATAACTATAGGACAATGCATAAAAATATATTCTTTGAAAAATGCATATTGCCGCCACGCTATTTCTCGTACAAAGTTGTATGGACATTTCATATTAGCCCAATACATACCACTAACTATTCGTATACATCCAAAAAATAGTAGAACTTTTACTTTTGATAAAATTTTTCCGAAATAAATAGTAAATATATATTTTGATTTCAGATTTTTATAAGTTCGATTTTCTTATAGAATTTGTACCACAAAGTAATAAATGTTCAAAGTGTCAAATAAAAATTGTTATTATACTTTTTATGTTCCTGAGAGTCAAACACCATTTTTTGTTACACTTTTGTGGTTAGGTGTGTTCTCGTACATAAAAATCTTTTAAATCATATGAGAGAAATCGTGATCAAATTTCGAAAACATCTAAATACTTCCATTATTATTATTAAAAATCGCCTTTTTTGCTTCAATTAAATTTAACTAAACAAATATGTAATCACTAAAAACATTTTCATAAAATACCTACGTTTCCCTTTTTTAGTATCATAAACAATGATGGTAATATCTTAAAAAACTTTAACATCAATAATTTATTGATTATGGGAACACACTACAAGTACATATGGTAGTACAAGTATATATATATATATATATATATATATATCTATATATATAAAAGAAAGTTGTGTTAGTTACTACGCTTATAACTTAAGAACCGCTGGATTGATTTTAACGATTCATACAAATTCGGAATTGTCTCCTCTCCGAAAAGGATAATATCCAAAAAAAATCGCGTAAAAATGTGATATATTAACATTTTCATTTTGACTTTTCAAATGTACAATAGTAATGTTTTATTTTGCATGATTTTTTTCCATTTTGACTTATTTTTTCTAATGTACATTTGTAGTGTTTTTTATATTTTATTTTTGAATTCAAATATTAATACCAATTCATTTAATTGACTTGATTTCTTGAGAAATGTAACTGATGGCGAGTTACATGGAAGTGTAGTACCGAATTATGTGGTGGCGAAACGAAATAGATGATGTCGAAATAATTTAATGGAATCGAATTTTAAAATAGAAGTACATTCTATTGACAAACTATATAAGGATCTTTAAACATTTGCTGTAAAAAATCAGCGAACAAGTTGAAGATTTTTTCAATGTGTTATTCTTCTTTTGTCATTTTTTTTTCAATTTGTATTATCTAATTGAAAAATTTTCACTATATACAAATTTTCACCAAAAAATGAAATAAGTGGGAAATACGATGTTAACTGACATCTACCTTTCAACTCCAGGGCCGACATCGTGGTTCAGCTGGAAGATGCGAACACATTTGAACAAACAAAAATTACCGAAAAAGCCTAATGGGGCTCATTTCAAAGCGTGGAACTACTTCTTTCCTTTCACAATAATCCGTCCAATGTACAATCAGAAAAATACCAAATAAAAAGGGTGGAAAATAGTAGAGCGAATGGGACTCTAAGTAAGAAAAGGATTTCTATCCTTCCAGAAAATCTTCCCAAACATTCAAGATACCTTAAATCGATTTTGCCGTTCATGATATCGATCATAATTCACGGATAAGGGT